GGAGGAGATCCACATGGCGTGGCAGACCTCTCCTGACCCGCCCGCTGCTCCCCTCAGCAGTGTCCTTCGTTGATCTGCCTGTTCTGCTCCCCACTCTGTTCCTGGTGAATCCTCTCATCCTCCGCATCTCTGGCCTGTACCCCAGTTCTGTATGAATAAATAAATCTTTAAAAAATAATAATAATAATAATACATGCTTTGATACAATTTAGTAACCATTTATGACTAAAGATTCACAGCAAAGTAGTGAAAGGAGAGAACATTTTAACGGAATAAGAAATTGTCTATATAAGTACTACAGTAAAAACAACAACCTCAAAAGACCCAAACACAGTTGAATATTCAAAACATGCAGCAAGACAAGGATGCTCTTTCAAAATTACATAGAAGTCCTAGTCGGTTAATAAAACCAGAAAAGAAATGACAAGTGTAATTATCGGCAATGAAAAACAAGACAAAGGAAAACACAGACTAATAGTTCAATATAGTAGCGTGGCATAACCATTGCGCTTTAACTTAAAGATTTTTTTTTTTTAATTTCAAATGCCTGTTTGTGAGCAGGCATACATTCTGTCCCCTCAAGTGTCTCATATTCTGTGTTTTCTATCTACAGAAATAAAAACAATGTTACCCCAAAATAGTAAATGCTGGATATATATTAGCCAGGTGCAAAGTAATGAAATGCTTTCATTTTTAATGAGAATAGAGCAAAGTTTTAAGATTACAAAATAATAACTAAGAAGCTGAAAGAAAAGACCAGAAACAGGGGTGCCAGGAAGTCTGTTTGCTGGGACGCTGGTGTCACTCAGGTGTCCTATTTTTAAGTTTTCCCCAAATCAAGTGGGATTACCCCAAACCAGCCTGCAAAAAAGCATGCTTCCCAGCGTCAGGCACCCGGCAGACATTCAGCTCGCTGAGCTCAGTGACGGTGATTGCACAACAAAACGTCTTCTCTGGGTCCTACCACCTAGCTTGGGCGAAGGAGGGAAAAACTAACCACTGACACGTTGACTAAACTATGATCACTAACGAAACCATCTATGTCGGTTACCGGAATCCGACGTTGGAGTGAAGAGCGGTGTTCCAGTATTCGCAATGCAGACGCCGCGCGTTCATTGGATTGTGAAACACGAGCAGTAGAGAGTTGTCTTGGGTATGGTAATAAGAATCAACACACTTGTATTGTTCCTTGGCAGCTTGAAGAACCTGCAACTCAAAACAACTGCATTGCTGTGTGTGCTCCTCGGAAGAGGGGGGTCCCAGTGAGTGCTTTCTCTGTTCTTTTCTTTCTCCCTTTACGTCCACACTGTTGGTTACAGCAAGAATGGCAGACACACGGGGGCTCTTCTGAGCATTTCAGCAACTCTGCCGCGCCCTGTGGTCACCTCTGGGCAGGGATCAAACTAATGCTGAAGTGGCTTTAGCTTCTTGGTGCTGTGCTTTAACCTGCTGCGCCACTAGGGAGGGCCCTGCTTTGTTTTATGAAAGGCTCGCTTTGGGTGGAAGGCTGTCCTTCCTTCTGTTAGACAGCCCTAGAATCGTGTTTTCTTATTTGCTTTAACCACCGAATATAATACACTAAGTTTCTTACAGTTACATTAGCCCTCACACAATGTTTGACAGCTTTTCATTATAATCTTTCTTCTTTGTATTTCTAGGCTTTTCTTTTACTTGATATTAATATTATTGGCCTCATTAATGAATAGCTAATTATTTCATTAAAAATGGGCACTGGCGGCCCTCCCTGGTGGCGCAGCAGGTTAAAGCACAGCACTAAGAAGCTAAAGCCACTTCCGCATGAGTTCGATTCCCGCCTGCCCCGAAGGTGACCACAGGGCGCGGCAGACCTCTCCTGACCCGCCCGCTGCTCCCCTCAGCAGTGTACTCCATCAGTCGGCCTGTTCTGCTCCCCACTCTGTCTCTGGTGAACTCTCTCACTGCCCCTGAGCCTCTGGCCTGTACCCCAGTTCTGTATGCACAAATAAATAAACCTTAAAAAAAAAAAAAAAGATTCTTCTAGATCACTGAACTCATCCTGGAGTTCAGAGAGGTAGGTTCAAGGTGATGAAATTGATAGATTATCTGCTATATAGAGAATGACTGGAGCCTGCAAGAGTGCGAACAGCCTGATGACGAGGCTACCACAGTAGATTGAGGGTTATGAAGAGCATTATTGGATTAAAGTGCCCATAGCGGAGATTAGAAGGCTTTGTTGGTAATATGTAGAAAACACAAGATAAATCAGAAGTTCTTCATTGTACAGCCATCATCGCTGCAAAAATTCATTCAATTAGCAGTATCTTTATTTTTCCAACCCTTTCCAAGTATATAAGGTTTAATCCTTTACCGCTAAGTAAAAAAGCAGACATAATTACCAGTTGGATAAAAATTCTTGTGGTATAGTTCCTAAAAACTAAGTGAATGACTCAAGTTAGTAATGAATCCTTTAGAAAGCCAGGTGGTTTTTAACCCACTGCTTTAAAAAATTTGAAGGAAAAGCCTAACTACATAGCCAGGTAGTAGAATATATTTCTGATAGATAATGTGTGATTTTTGGCAAACAACTGAGGAATAGTTCAAGTAATTAATTTACATTACTATTATTATACTATTATACTATATTATATTCTATTTTAATAGCTAAAAATACAGGGTATTTGTTCCAAATTTATTTTAGAGTCACATTTTGCTGCAAAGATAGTTGATGTAGAGTCGATAAGAGACTTTTAAGCATAAAAATGTATTAGAGTTAAAATTCTACTGTTGAAAGTAGAAAATGTATAAAGACAAGAATAGATCAGAATTCTCTGGCTTTTAAAGAAGAGCTTATTTCTTTAACTTTCAACTGGATGACAGTGCTTTCATTCATTCATTCATTCATTCATTCATTCATTCCATTATCTTCTTTCCCCGCTATTTTACTGATTTGCCAATTATTTGCACAACACAGACTTCATGCATGTAGCTGCTTCACTCCCACGCCACTGAGGCCCCAGCCCCGACACTTCCAAATGCCTTCCAAAACCTTGAGGGCTAATTTTTTTTAACTACATTACAAAAAGCCAAACTGTCAGTCAAATGTAACTAACAAGGCAGCATTATTCACAAAGACCAAGGAGTTGGCAACAACTTAATTTCCCATTATCAGATGATTGACTAAAGATACACACACACACCCCTGTACAACGGAATATTAGTCAGCCATGAAAAAGATGAAACCCTACCATTTGCAACAAAATGCATGTACTTAGAAAGTATTATGTTTATGGAAATATGTCAGAGGAAGGTAAACACTACATGATTTCACTCACATGGAAGACAAGAGTAGACGATAAAGAAATAAAATTAATGAACAAATAAAACCAAAGAAACTACGCTTTGGGCGGAGAGCAAAATGTACTGTGTACAGACTTTTAATTCACAATGCTGTGCACCTGAAACATACAGAATGTTATAAACCACTTTCTTTAGATAATTTTTTTTTATTTTTAGGACAGAATTAAGATGTTTTCAAGCATCTAATGCCTCAAATATTTACCTGCCGTATATCTTAATTCAGGAAGCGACTGAGAAAGTTGGCCCTTCCAGAAAGAGAGAAACCCAAGCAGGAAGAGGGAATGGGATTTGGAAAACAGAGCGGCTAACCAGGAAGAGGGAGAGGGTTGGTCAGGATGAAGGGCCATCCCAGGACCACAGCTGTGCGGCAGGCCCACAGGGCAAGCAGGCATCCGAGCATAGGTGAGGTACTGCTTCCACCGTAAAAGTGACGGACTACCTGTTGGGGCTGAGGGTATTGAGAGGAGATTTACTGCTGGTAGAGAGCTTGGGGATGAGTAATGATAAATGCACAACAAACTAAATACATTTGAAAAATGGGAAGAAGAACTCCAGAGAAAACGAAAGTGGCAGAAAGGAAAACGTAATCAGCATATCGCTCAGTCCAGCTGGGGAGGACTTTTGTATAATTAAAATAAAGCAAACGTTATCTAATGATTTAACCAAAAATGAGGCCACGGCTTCTACTACCAGAGCATGGAAAGAGAAGAGCTAGTGTGAGTGCAGGAACATGTGTGTGTGTGTGTGTGTGTGTCTATGTGTGTGAGAGCGGTGTGTAAGGGTGTGTGTGTGTTTATGCAGTGTGCATGTTATGTGGCTTTCTGTGTTGTGTATGTATGTTTGTGTGGTGTGTTGTGCGTGTGTGCGGTATGCGGTATGTGTTGTGTGTGTTTTTGTGTGCTATGTGTGGTAGATGTGTGTTGTGCATGGTGTGTGGTCTGTGTGTGTGTGGCGACAGAGTGTGTTTATGTGTGTTGGGCACAGGCAGAGCAGCTTGCCGAAGAGGGAGTCAACTGCTGACTCCCAGAACTAAAACTCTAAAAAGCAAAACGCCCCTGCTGTTCAGAGATAAATGAGTCTAGCGGTGAGTAGTTGCACTGCAGATCTGTACCCCTGGGGTGCTGGGCGTGGTCCTGGTGGACAGCTGCCACTTCTCATAAGACTCTTTGGCTTCAAAACTTTTGATATTTTGATAAAAGTAACACTGACATGACAAAGGTAAAACCAAGCAATATAGACTTTTGCATCAAGTGTAAAAGCAACAGAAGCTGTTCGTTTCGATGCTTTTTTAAATTTTACTTAATGGCCAAGAGCACAAGTCTTGGGGTCAGGTTTTCTGGGTTCCTGCTGCCCCTGTCACCTACCAGAACCAGTCATGTGCCTTCTGGCACGAGGCAGGGTTAGTCAAGATGCCTCCACCTACCATTTAAACAGTTTCTACTTCATCGGAGGCTTCAAGGGTTAACAGAGCTAGTGACGCGGGTTGATCCTTGACCATGTGTAGTGGGTGCTCGATGGATCTCACCTGTTGCAGCTCCCACTGACCTGCTAATTGATTCAGGAGATATTCTTGCAGATTAGTGAAAACTGAATAGAACGGACAGGCAAAATGGGAGAAAGTGAGGTTGCTCCCCAATAATGCCTTGTGTGTGTGTGTTTTTTAGAAATCATTTTAAAAAAAAGATTTTATTAAAATGTACTTTCGAAAAGTGTATCTTAAACTATTTTGGAGATTTCGGGATTACGCAGCATCCAACCTGGTAATAAATTCCTGTTACAGCCCAAGTAGGTGGGAACATTAACCTGGATTCGAGCTGAGAGAATGACCCAACAGTGAACTGCTCTAAATCACACAGCCCCCCCCCCCCAAGAACCACGCAACTGTTCTCCCACAGACTCACAGCCCATTAATACCTGAAGCAGAACTTTTGGTTTAAAATGCTCGGTGAAAGTCCAGTCCATGAGGCTGCGTTGCTGCGTTTTCTTTATGTCCTCCAACTCTGCCTCCACTGGCATCTTCTTGGGTTTCTAGAAACCATAGGAGTACAGTTTCAGTTTGCATTCGGTGAAGTCCAAACGGCGCCCCCGTGGGCTCCATGGCCCAGTCAGCAAGCACCCCACCTAACGGGGAAATCTGCAACGGATAAACCCATCTGGCCACATGTTAGCAGAAGGGCTGCCAGAAAGAGTATATGCCTTTGACTTTTTCTTTCTTTTTTTTTATAATGGGCAACATAATCTAAATATTTTTATTGTTAGGTTATACTCTTCGGAGTCCTGTTAGCAATTACAGACAGGTTTTCTGAACCGACTTCAAGACAGCATCGTTCTTTAGCGCTGTATGGCCAGCAGGTGTTTGTGAGGTTGCCAAGCCACACTGTCTAGAGAGGAGGGCAGCTTGGGGATTTTGCTTAAGCTGGCTTGAGAAATTAACTCCTTTGTCTCCGGTTGGAGTTGAGCGAGGAATGGCAGAATAATTCATCTCCTCTGGCATCTGCATTTTCCTGCTAAGTATCTCCTCTTTTTTTAAAAAAAAAAAAACTGTTTCTCATTCTGGGTCATGGTTTTCTTAGATCATCTTGCATGTATCTACACACTTAGGAAAATAATTCCTTACCTTTTCAAAAGGAGAGCCCTTTGTGACTGCCTCATCTTTGATCTTGCTGCTTGTGGTCCGCTCTGTAAATCAAAGACACCAAATCCGTTGTGTTCAGACTTTGTTCTTGCCTTGGTCAGTCCTGAGCCTCTTTGTTGCCCGGATGATCTATGGCTCTGTGCTGAAAAGGCAGTTCCTGAAAGGCGTGTTTCATGCCTCCAAAAAGGCATTCGTGTCAGTAATTCTAAATCTGTGTCTACCTGGAGAAGTTACACTAAACCCTTTGAAAAGAACCACGCTCCCTACATGTTCCAATCCTAAATCATGCCGCGTCGTCGGCCGCAGGCGGCACTGCTCACTTCGCACGAGGTACCCTCACCTGTACAGGCTGCAGGTGTTTAACCGGCGACGTCAGTTAAACTGAGACGACGCCAGCTGCTGTGGACTCTCCATTTACCTGAAGCCAGCACGCAAACTCAGCCTGGTAATAAACTCACCTTCTAGCTAACTCTTTTCGAACTTCTGTGGGTGACAGACCAGGGCAGGGGCAGAGAATGGTTGGAAAGGAGCATGGCCAGATGAATCCACTTAACAGAAAACGATGCTATTTCATCATTCTGAAGCTCATCTTCTATTAGATGAATATTTTATCGCTCCAAAACCCGACCACAAGTCATGCAGATGTACGCGTGGAGCGTAAGAGAAGTTCCCAGTGGGGGTAACCGAGAGCTGGCTGGGTCCCTGGCGCAGGGTCCTCACGTGTGTTCATTCCCACTCTGGCTCCCGTGTCATCTCAAGAGCCACCTTTCCTGCTGACTTCCTCTTACCATAGGTTTGCACATGCCTCATGTAAGCTTCTCCGTAATGTAAAAGGGGGCATCCTAAGAGAAACCTTTCCTAAGCCAGTGGGGTACCACGTGAAGAAGGGGTTGGTACATCATTCACTTATGTGGAGATTTTTGAGTATTCCAAGATGCCAGAATAAACTACCGAGTCATACCTAGTAACACATAAAACCCACAATGGCACTGGACGGCAGCGTGGGGCGGGGCGGGTGAGCACACACCACAGGCACAGTGAGGAAGGCCGCAGGGCCAGCAGAGGCCGCGTTGTGAGCTCTTCCCACATTTTTTGCACCTTTTGCTGTAAGAGCCCAAACCCTCTTCCTTTCCCTCAGCTTAGCAAAAACAGGATTGACAGAGTCTCTTTGTAAAAGCAACATGGTGCAACATGAACCTTAAAAATCCAGGGGGGCCTAAGCTCTTTATTTCTTTCCATCCACCCCTTCACCTGGAGCGTAAATTCCTGGAGACAAGTTCTTGATGTTCTTTTCCCTAGTTCTACCCTGAGTGCAGTGCATATTAGCAGGAATTCGGTATCCAAACTCACATAAATTGAAATTGGAAATGAATATAGCACTCAGGAGAAATCAGGAAGGTAGAAGAAACCCTGAAACATGAGCTCTTGTGGGATAAGCCCTAGGAGAACTTTCAATTCCGTGGCAAAGAGAACCACGTCTGGGCTTCTCGGGGGAATAGCTAATCATGTCTACCACGGAGAGGTTAACGTTTTCCTTCCTTTTAGAAACACAGCTACTTACATTTTCGCTACTAATTCCACCTTGCCTTGGGCTGGTGAAGGTGAAAGCGGGAATCAGTGTTCCACGTTGATTTGGAGGAAAACTATGACGCTAGTTCAACTCAGGACTTATATAAGTACATGCACTCAAGAGAGAACACAGACCAGCGATGACTCTGAGTAGACTGTGGTGTTCCACATGCACTTGAAGCAACTGATACGAAGTCTGTGGAATAAAAATCACTCTATTCTGTGGTTTGCCAGACTTCCGGGAGATTTGATATTCCCTCCTGCGTCCAAGGGTCCAGAAAGTCTCCAGTTTAGAAAATATGTTTTCAAAAATGGTGCATCAGTTATTTTGTCAAAGGAAAGAACCTTCTAACGCTAATATGAACTCTTTATTTAATAGTAGAGTAAAAAAAAAATCATTCTTTCTTTCTGATTTCTGCCTTCAACTGCATAATCCTTTGACAGTGTGATTCAGTAGTTTTTGACACATCTGGAAATAAATGCATTCTCATCCCTTTGAAAAACAGCTTCCCTAATCTGTTTTACTTTAAAGATAACAAGATCCCTCTGCAAAGCAGTTGCTTTATTAAAAAAACACCCAACAAGCATAAAGGGCACATCTAAACCTATCGCCTCACGGTTATCAACTCTCAGCGTTTTCATAAATATCCAATAGGCCCTGTCAAGTTCAAAAACAGTCTCAGATGGAAATCCAGTGGCTGGTTAAGAAAAGCACAAACATTCAGCCTCCATGCCCAGGGCCAAGCTTTTTGTACATATCGATTCGAAGATGGTTGTGCAGGAAATGCATGAGTAATTCCTTTTGTTTAAAGAGATGAGAAGTGGCTGCTTTAGACGTGTGATTCAGAGTTGGGGGGAGACGCAAGATCAACCACAAACAATTCCCTTCCACACAGCCGTCGCCGGGAGGCCCCAAGACTCTCCTGCCTCCCCGCCACCCCGCTACTCAAAATACTGATTTCTCAGTATGGGCCAACACACGCCATGCAGAGTCCCTTACGGGCTTCAGCTCTTAGGGCTGGCCTCTTGTCCTCTTGCGCACATTGGCCATTAGAGCACATTCAGCTGTGATGACTTAGAACTTGCTATCGTCATCTCATTTCTACCAAGATCCAAACATCAATTCCTATGGTTTGGCCACCAGGTGGCAAAAGTTGCCTTTTGCACAGAAAACTATATGCCAGCTCTTTTAATGAAAAAACAGAAACAAGAGTGGAACCAAAAAGAAAAAAAAATCATGTCTTATATCTCTACTGGCTTACTTTGACTCCATCTCACTCCGAGGGACGGACTTTCCAGGAGAAAACGATGCACTGGAGTTTAACTTAGGGGTGTGTGTGTGTGTGTGTGTGTGTGAGTGAGAGAGAGAGAGAGAGAGTGCTGGACCAATGGGCAGGGGCATTTAGCACAGAGAACTAGGAAACAGACCCTATTGATACTGAAACGGAGCAAGGAAATCCCAAAATCGGCACAATCAGCGCACAGATAGGGCTAAGCCGGTGTCTGCTCCGCAAGGGAGCTCTGGAGCCGAGCGTACGAGGCGCTGCTCTGGCTCAGACCCCGCTGACTGCCTGACCCCCTACTGAGACTTACTGTGTTCTTCTTTATCTGAACACTCGAGAGACTGGTGCTAAACTAACTCTTAGCATTTAAAAAATGTACTTCAAGTCATAAACTTCTCTCTGGATAGCTCTTAATTTAGCTGCATTCCACAGGTTTTGATTTTCCATATTTTCATTATCAACCAGTTTGAGATTTCCTCATTTCTACTGTAAGATTTTTTTTTGGACCCAGGTGCTATATAAAAGCCGCTCTTAAAAAAAAAAAGCCTCTCTCTCTTACTTTTGAAAATCTGGTATTTTTCTCATCGTTTTTGTGATTGATGTGAGCCATAATTTCACTATGGCATGAGAACATACCATGCAGTTTCAAGCCTGTGAAACTTTGTGCTCTGCGGTCTGTATGTGGCTGGGAATTTTAAGAAAAAACATCTATAGGGTCTTTAAGAATCTGTAATGTTATAGAGGCCTTAACATGGGCACGCGAATCATCATAATGCATCGTAGGAAACTGTAAGTAGAGCCATCACAGAAAAGCAGATGAATTATAATCATGAGAGCGTTACTGGAGACGCCTGTATGTGGGCGCATTTAACAAAGCTTCATGGAGAAGTCATTAAACCCTGTTCGTACTGTACTAAAAAGAACTCCGGGTGGAGGGTGCCTGGGGAGATGGCACCGAGATTAAAAAGCTCAGGCTGCACAGAGGAAATAGGGTCACTTCTTTTTTGGCTAGAATACAGGATAAGTGAGCAGATGGTAAAATTTGGAAAGGGACTGGGAAAAGTAATTTTTAAAAAGATTTATTTATTTATGCATATAGAACTGGGGTGCAGATCAGAGGTGAGGGCAGTGAGAAGATTCACCAGAGACAGAGCGGGGAGCAGAACAGGCAGATTTACTGAGATACACTGGTGAGGGGAACCGCGGGGAGACAGGAGAGGTCTGTGGCGCCCTGTGGGTCACTTCCGGCGCGGGATGGAACTCCCGCTGCAGTGGCTGTGGCCAGCTTCACAGCGCTGCGCTTTAAACCTTTGTGCTACCGGGAGGGCCCTGGGAAGTACAACTGGATATCGCCAGAAGAAGCACGTCAAGATGGCGAGGAAGCCGGATTTGAATTTGCAAGTATTAGGGAGTCATTGGAGGCGATGGGGGAAATAACAGAGCCGGATTTTAAGTCATAAATCTAACAGCTGTGAACAAAGTAACTGAAAACAAATTGAGCCTAACATTCTTCTGTGCATCTAAGTCTCCTGATAGAACAGAACTGATGAGGCTGCAGCAGGAATGAGAATAATGTCCTGGTTTATTTGAGGAGACAAAGGAACTGAGGAAAAAACCGAGCACTGAGTTTTCTACCAAATGCTGTCCTGGAGTTACTGATGTTATTATAGCTTCTTTAAAAAAAAAAAAATTGTATGTAATCACAGTGACCCCCTGAAACACTAATTGATGACAGTTTTGATTACATTCACTGCACGGCACCCACAAAAGGCAAGACAGACAAGGATGGCTTGGAAAACAGGGGTTGACATCACAGGAATTTACCAGAGAACAATCCTCAATGACACAGTTCAATTAACCACAAAACTGAGATACTCGTTTTCTGATGAAAGCATGGAGGCACTTCAATTTCAACGATGCATCTTGAATCATTTTTCACTTACACATTTTAAGTGTCGATGTGCACACACAATCACACACATGTGCACACACGTTCATACACACAGGTGCACGCTCAGAGACCCGTTTACTCACCCAGCAGCTCAGGCCAGGGCAGGCCGTCCAGGGTGCTCTTCTGACCTGACCATTCTCTCTCATCAGGGTGTGAGGGTTTCCTCTTACTCCCGTCAGAGAAAGCATTCACGCTGTCAGCATCAGACCGTCTGGAACCCGGAGCTTCTTTATGAATCTCATCATCTTTCTCGGGCATTAACAACTTCTGATGCATAAATATTGTTTTGTCTTTGGGTTCGGTATCTGGTCGGAACAAGAGGCTCATGAGACGGCTGGGAGACCTGGCCGCCAGGGAGCGAGGCTGCCCTCGCCCGAGCGTGTACCTGTCTGCAGGGTGTCCTCGTGGGCGCTGGCTGTCATGAGGTTGTGCCTGATCTGCTTAGCGAACCTGGCGGGGTTGTCCCATGGCACGCTGAAGGCGTCCGTGCCCGACGCCATCCCGGAAGGCTTCAGCCTCCCGTCTTTGTCGACCTCGGAGAGTTTCAGGCTCTCAAAAGTGAACACCTTGAAGGCACGTTCTACCTCGTTCCAGCTCAAGTTTTCTGTAAAATAAAAAAATAAAAAAATAAAAAAGGGGCCCTGGGCTGTGAGGAGTGCTCTCACGGGGTGGGGCGGCTGGGGGCGGCCCCTGGAGGGAAAATGGGTCACGCACCAGGGTGAGTGAGGACACGCGTGCCGCGCCCCAACTCTGCAACACACAGCCGAGGTACCGAGTGCCGACAAGCCACACACTCAAGAGAGACTGTACCCAGAGACACCCCCAAACTGTGCAACTTCATCCATGGTGAGTGTCCAGACTGATTCCCGCGGGGCTTTCCAGGGCAGCTGTTGGCTGAATAGGGTCAGACGATTTATTTTTCAGCTAAAGCACTCTCTGCTGTTGTCAGCATTTAAACAACAAGCCCTACTCAGCGTCCACAGACAGGCTGTGCCTGCAGAGGCTTCCCCTACCAGGCGGGCTCAGGAGAGGCCTCCGGCCGCCCCACCGTTCAAGTGCAAGGAGGCTCCCACAGCAGCTGTCCACCCCTTCCCTCACCCGCTTGTTTCTGTTTCTGATGTAACTGGCCTTCTCCCTGGCTTCTGGGATTCAAGACAAGACTTGGCTATTTCAAGTCCAAGGTAAGAGGGTAGGCGGTGGGCTCGGCCTTCAGCGAGGGGGGACAGAGGGGCGGTCAGCTCTACTTCTGCTGGGGCAGAGATGAGCGCTCAGGAGGGTCCCTTTCAGAAAGCCATGGGCCTTTCGGAAGGGGGGTAGGGAAGGACAGGACCGAGGGCGGCCGCCCCCTCGCGCATGTCACTGGGCTCCTTGAGCACCTGCCCGTTGCCTGCCGGACTGCGCAGCAAGCAGGACGCAGCCGTGAACGCAGCGGGAGCTTCCTGGCCCTGGGACGGACGCGGCGTAGAGCTTGGGAGGAGAGAAGAGGTTGAGTGTGTGACGATCAGTGGTGACAAGAAGGTCAAAGCCAGGTGAAGGGGAAAGAGGTGGTAATGTTCGGGGAAAGGT